GTCTGTGATACAGTAATATTTTAAAAATATTTTAATATAAAAAACTATGGATGCATGGTTCAGAAATAATAGGTTGTTGCGGGCCGGTGTATGCATTGAGAGATAAACACGTGTGTCTCCTGAAATGGCCATAACAAATATGGCAGACTTAGGATGTGAGTCCACATAAAGAAATGTAAAAAAAAAAAACAATATATATGTACAAACAAATGATAATGTATTAGCAACAAAAAGAATTACAAGTGACAAAGACAAAGGTGTGTGTGTCAAATGAATGTGAAAACCTAATGGTCCAAAGTATGTGTAGTGAATGAATGTGTGTACGTACGAGTTTATGTATGTTCATGTGTTTCCCAAAGGGAAGTGCGCTTTCCGCGAGAGATTTACATGTTGACGAATAAGCGGATAAGGTGAGAAGAGAGAGAGAGAAAGAAATATCACCGAGTAATTACAGTCCGGAAAGCGTCACCTAGAAGCAGTTTCGAAAATTAGGAGGAGGTAACCTGACAAGTGTATATTCTTTTGAATTTTATAATTATGAACAAAAACCGCTTAATTTTTTTGTCAACGCTTGCAATGCCAACTTTAACCATAAAACTAACCTTGACCATCAAATTAAATCATGTATATAGTTTTCAATGGTCAAGTTTGCTTTCATTTCTTCTTTCCCATATACTGCTTACTATAAGCAAGCAAACAATATATAACAGTAATAAGGCAAAGCAGCGGTAATATGGCAAAAAGTTCACAAACTAAGTATTGGGATTGGCGAACAAAAGATAAGCGAACGTAGACAAGACAAGACAGACCGGGACTGAGTCATATGAAACTGAGTCATATGAAACTGAGAACAGGCCTATTTTATTAGCTAGGAAGAAATCCCAGTATGCATTTGTGTGCTTCTGTCTATAAATTGTGGAGTGGAATATGTTTTGCAGTCTTTCCCACATTGTTTGGAAACAACTTTTAATGACCCCATTTCCGGAAAGGACAGATTTTTTTCTCTTTTCCCACTTTTCAAACGACAGCGTTCGGACCTGTTTCGGCAGCCACACTCATGAAGTAAGTAATTTGGTTGTTCCAACTGAGCGCTAAGCTGACTTGAGCTCGACCATTTTAACCATTGTTATCCTAACTTACTTACGAACCAGAAAAGAAAACGACCATACCCAGGAGACACGGAGAACGTTGTTTCACTACAGTCGACATAAAAAGAATAGACATCCGTAGTAAAATCACAAGTTTTCGTATGTTTTGCTTAAATATTGAACACGCACACACATAAAATACAAACAAACACGCAGTCTTTTATATTCCATAAAATACTACCTACTTAATTAAAAAAGTGAATTCCCACACAGATACAAAATAGCCATCATAAATCATTTAGTAAAAATATAACATTTAATATCTTCAGTATCTGTCTATTTTCTGAGATTAGGTATTATGTACACTATTTATATTATTCGGACTATTGTCCTCATCTTTGTTGCCATATTTATCACAACGTTTCGGCCGTTATACGCTCTGGCCTTCTTCAGGTTGTTAGAATGTCGAACTAAACCCTTTATTTCGCTCGTTCGGGTAGACTGTTCTAGTTCCACGTGCCATGTCTAATGGATGTCAGTTATCAGTTATCTCCTGTTAATTCCCATCTCCAAGTTCTCCAGCGCCTTAGCCAGGTATTGAACTCACATTCTTTGGTCGTGTCACTGGATCTAAATAATGCCTTTATCCACTGTGCCATGTATCTTTGAGAAGAAGGCCGGAGCGTACAACGGCCGAAACGTTGTGATAAATATGACAACAAAGACGAGGACAATAGTCCGAATAATGTCGTGTTTAATATCTTCTACACACAATATTTCTTAACTAACTCAAAAGCATAAAACAGTTACAAATTAACAATCACTTCCTTAATCACATGGTCGGTAAACCAATTAAAAGAACGTTAAAAATAAAAATAAACAATAATTCAAATAAAAATAACATAAAATATTATACTACACGAATAAAATACACAGTAACCACTACCTAGTCTAACAAATCATAAGAAATAATACACAAATGCATGTCAACTAATGAGGAATTAAAGAAATTAAAGTTATCATTCATTACAAAAAGCTAAAAACAGACAAGCACAGCAAAAACTCAAATCTCCAACAAATTAATATCTACGAATTCAAACACATACATTGATTTCATCACTACAACGTTGTCACGCCGTTTAACATGACATTTATCTAACAATAGCTCCGTTAAAACGCATATCAACCAACATAAAGAAAAACTACATGAAACCAAACAAATAAAATAACAAATAATACTACATGTTTCAACTACACAGTAACCATAAGCTAGACGATAAATGATAAGAAATCTATTACATAGTTACATATCAACTTGTGGCCAAATAAACAAATTAAGTTAACATTAGAAAAAATAAAAATAAACAATAAGGCAAATAAAATAACGAAACCTTTCTATTAAATTAAAATTTTTAAGAAATCTGCAGTGATATGCAAATTCTGGCCTAATTAGCATAGCTAGGGAATAGAGACTATATAAGTGCACAAGCACTAAGGTGAGGAGCAAAGTGGGAGTCGAGGAGATCCGGTGGGAAAGCTTTGTTTTTTTATGTTTAAGAATGAAGAGAAGTGTGAAAAAAAAAACTTATCATATCAAGTATTTCAGCCCTGGAGCGTTTCAGCTCAGACCAGACTCCGGGTTTCTAGCAGTGAAAATCTTGTAGCTTAAAAATTATCCTTCGGACAGATCGTTACTCACGAGTAAAGAACAAAACAATTTCTAGCAGTAAACCAGATTTTATTCTTGGGTTGTAACTTACTGCTATAAGCGAGCGAAGTAGAGATGATGCGTATATGAGAGAGAGATGCATAATTCAGAGCAGTCGTCTATGTCCGTTCTGTGAGAACGGACATAGACCACTTCATTCCTTCTGTTTGCCTTTTCGCTGGATGGTCAGTTTTATAAAACAGCAATTTTCTTTGTCTTGCCATCTTCGTCTAAAAAAGTAATTAATCCTCCTTCCGTCACTTTCACTCAGTCTGAGCTTGTTGCTCTTTACTTTGAAGTTGACTCCACTTACTGAAAACCATCGGTCGAAAGTTCCTCATCGATTTTTGCGACAGGTCTCGCTGTTTTTCAATTTAACAAAATAGTTGGCTTATATTGCTACAAGCAGAATAGATTACGTGTGTCTTGTGCGCCGGACTTGCTGTATTTCGTTTATCGTATCTCGTTTGTCATCTCGCAGTTGTGCCTTTGTCTTCGGGTAAAACGCACCAAAACAAAATTAGATGTGACAGGTCCCCACCCCAACCCGGGAACAGCTGCCCCGGAGTAGAGTCGGTTGGGCTATTTTTTAACCCGGTCCGGGTGCACGCGCTCGGACCCCTCACATTAAATTGATCTTGTGTTGCGTCCTGTCTACGTGGTGCGGAAAGTAGTTATCAAATATTATACACGATATTAATGACTACAGCTGGAATGAGAAAATACAACGAAAATCACGCTTCAAAATATAATACGTAGATACATATCAACTGTTGCTAAGAATGAATTAAACATTTTCCAATATGGTAATCACCACTGACGCAATGACAAAAAATCAAAACCTCAATAAACTAACGTTGTCTATGAATTCAAACGACCGATTGGTGAATGCTTCTCAAATTCGAAACGCATAAATTGGTTTCACTACTACAACATTATCACGCCGTTTAACATGCCATTATCTAACAATAGCCCCGTCAAAATACATATCAACCAGCATAAAGGACTGATAGACATTAAAAGACTAATAGATAGATAGATATTAACAGACTGATAGATATTAAAAGACTGATAGATAGATAGATAGATAGATAGATAGATAGATAGATAGATAGATAGATAGATATTAAAAAACTGATAGATATTAAAGGACTGATAGGCAGATATATATGAACAGACTGATAGAGAGATATTAAAAGACTAACAGATAGATATTAACAGACTGATAAATATTAAATGACTAGATAGATAGATAGATAGATAGATAGATATTAAAAAACTGATAGATATTAAAAGACTGGTAGACAGATATATATTAACAGACTGATAGAGAGATATTAAAAGACTAACAGATAGATATTAACAGACTGATAAATATTAAAAGACTAGATAGATAGATAGATAGATAGATATTAAAAAACTGATAGATATTAAAAGACTGGTAGACAGATATATATTAACAGACTGATAACGAGATATTAAAAAACAGATAGATATTAATATAAATAAAATGACTAGATAGATAGATAGATAGATAGATAGATAGATAGATATATTAAAAACTGATAACAGACAGATATATATTAACAGACTGATAGAGATATATTAAAAAACTAACAGATAGATAGATATTAACAGACTGATAGATAGATAGATAGATAGATAGATAGATAGATAGATAGATATGCATATAATGAAATAGATACGTTTTTTGCCAATATACAGTGATACACCGTTTACCACGAGTTCACTGATGCTCTGTAACCCTCTTTTTCCAAATATTTTTCATAATAAATCTTATAAGGTTATATTTCCGAAAGAAACAAAGATAAAAGCTAGCGTCAGAGACAGTCTTCTTTATAACTGTAGTTTGTACACTTTTAATGTGCGATGTATATAAGAATACACAATCATTTCTCTGGGGTATCAGACTGTTTTCCACTGAGAAACCTCCATTCAGTTGCAAATATATTTGTTATTCTATTCAGTGTTGGCGTCTGCTTTCTTCTCAGAAATCTTCACAGTTTCCTCATTTGTCCGACATTTCTTGAAAAGGAAGCGCCATTTTAATGATGAAAACTTTCCTTTTTAAAACCAAATCAGCCAGATTGCAAATATATTTACTGAAATGGTAGTTACCAAAAACTAAATGAATGAACGAATAAAATAAAATTAATACAATTAAAATAAACCATTTTGCCATCATGCGAAAAAAAAAGCAAACAAACAAACCTCAATCCCAGAATTCCAAAGCAAGTCTTCCTCTCTCTCTCTCTCTCTCTCTCTCTCTCTCTCTCTCTCTCTCTCTCTCTCTCTCTCACTTCAGTACCTGCCTTAACAGAGATCGAGCATCAACACATATCTATGTGAACCCGAATCCGGATATGCGTCCTGGGTATGACGATAAACTACGTCCGCGTCCTGGGTATGACGATAAACTACGTCCGCGTCCTGGGTATGACGATAAACTACATCCGCATCCTGGGTAAGACGATAAACTACATCCGCGTCCTGGGTATGACGATAAACTACATCCGCGTCCTGGGTAAGACGATAAACTCCATCCAACACAAAGGCCTCTGATCGGGAGGTTTTGAGGAGTGTGGAACCAGCTCTTAATTGCTGGTGTTCCCAGGTCCACCCTGACCCGGGGTGGTAGCACCTGTTAGGATCCCGGCTTTGAGCAGGTAGTTAACAACCAAAGTTGTGTAAAAATAGGTTTTAATACCAGAAATACTTTGCAATAAAAATATTATTACTAGCAATAATTTTTGATGGAACATTTATTATCAACAATACTTAAAAATGTCAGTAATACAAGCAGCTATACATTCTTAAGAAGTTGGATTGTACTCAAAAATATGAGTAATTGAAAAATGGTTCAAATATATATGTATACACTTTTTTTTTTAAAACTATCGCTATGAAACTATTTAGAAAATTTTGTTTGCATGAAATGACCCACTGAGGTTTTGATATGTCATAAAACAAAACAACCAAACAACCAAATCCGAATATAGAATTAAGATAAAAAAAAAAAAAACTATAGACTCTTAAGTATCTTTATGGTGGGTCGGTGTATGCGTAGATAGATAAACACGGGGGTCTCCTGAAATGCCCACAACAAACATGGCAGACTCGGGATGTGAGTCCACATAAATAAATGTAAAAATAAACGACAAGAACCAATATATATGTACAAACAAATGATAATGTATCTTACTTATTATAAAACGCAGATTGTGTGTGTCTGTACGTTTATATATTGGATCGGATTTCCTACATTTTTCAACCGATTTCAACAAAACTTCACAGGACTACGTAAAATTACCTTGGAAAAACACAATTGTTTTTGCACGAAGTCAATTTGAAAACACGAGTAAGAGGCATTAATGAAAGAGGGGACAACTCATATCGAGTTACACTTATTAATATCGAGTTATACTTATTATAAAACCCAGGTTGGTTGTTTGTGTGTATGTGTGTGGGGGGGTGTTCGTTTATATATGGGATCGGATTTCCTACATTTTTCAACCGATTTCAACAAAACTTCACTTTTTTTGGCAGGTAGTGTTTCTTATTGTCTTGCACACTTTTTCCTTTCTTTTTACATTCAGAATGCTTTAAAAATTCTATTTACAAGACAACTGTTTATAATAAAATATATTCAATCGGTAGACTCATAACGATTGAAAACAATGTTTTTGTTTGAGTTTGGGTTTGACCAATTCGTAAGAAGAAAAAAAAAATAATTATGACATGCGTGTCCGTCAACCTTAAACAATAATCCTTGTCAATTTTATTTTTCAGTCTTTATGATGGTCGATACTTGATCTATCTCTTACTGTTACATGCCTGGGCAACGCCGGGCTCTACTGCTAGTTAACAATAAAGGTATACAAACGACAAAGACAAAGATGTGTGTGTCAAATGTATGCGAAAGCTTTTTGGGTGTAAACAATGTGTAGTGAGTGAATGTGCGTACATACGTGTTAGTGTATGTACTCTTCCACCGTTTCCCAAAGAGAACGCGTTCTTCAGCGAGAAATTTACATATTGACGTATAAGCGGAAAAGACGAGAAGGATATTTGCTAACCGCCTCACGTGGTCAGATGTGGCACAAGGCCGAATTTAACGTGGGGTATCCGAGCGCGTAGGCTCGGGCAAAAATTCCCCGTAGACCCCGTAAAAAAACGGGGTCGGGTAGCTGTCTACCACCCTAGACGAGACTTTGCCCGTCGGCACAGCCTTGTCTGGGTTCCTCTCTGCCCGAAGGCAGAGAGTTCGACTAGCACAGCTGGAGACGAATTGCCGGCGGAAAAGATGAAAAGAGAGTGATAAAAATTATCGCCGAGTATTTATAGTCCGGAAAGCGTCCCCTAGTAGGAGTTTCGAAAATTACCAGGAGGTAACCCGACAACTTCATCTTACACCAGCGTTTCTCAACTGATGCGCTCAGACGCACTAATGCAACCTGAAAGATAGTCAAGTGCGCCTCAGGTTAACAGAAGAGTAATTTACGAGTTAATTATATATTTAAAAATCTTTATTTATAAAAATGCCGGAGACATCAAGCACATGGCTTCAATGTTTAAGTCAAGTCTTTGTCATTTGATATCTTAAACTGGATGCTAAATTCCTTAATCTTTAATAAGGAAGGGGATAAGCCTTTCCTCTTTGCTTTCCTCAAGGGATAACGTTATCACTCAAAAAGTTACCAAGACACTGATGCACATTTTTCACATAAGCATACTTAAATATATAATGTTTTAAAAATAAATGCTTATTTCGGGAGAAGTCTTTATTATTTTCCTATCTTCAAAATTCATGACTAATTTTTCCTTGTTAAAATTGAGTTTTAGTTATTCTAAAAGTGCGCCCTGAATAAAAAAAAAAAAAAAAAAGGTTAAGAAACACTGCCTTACACCCTTTATATACACGACGCAAATTGGTGACCCTGATGTTATTTGAACACGCAACTATATATAAATGGATGGCTGGAGATGTGTACAAAATATGTAAAATTTTATGATGCAAGCCAACGTTTTCTTGTCCTGGGTGAGACGATAAACTACATCCGCGTCCTGGGTAAAACGATAAACTACGTCCAACAGCAAGGCCTGTGATCAGGAGGCTTTGACGAGCGTGGAACCAACTCTTAATTACTGGTGTTCCCAGGTCGACCCTGACTCGGGGTAGTAGGACCTATTAGGGTCCCAGCTATGGGCAAATAGTTAACCACCAAACTGGGGTCAAAACACTATGAAAGTGTAAAAAGAGGTTTTAACACCAGAAATAAAGGGTGTTTCATTAAGACGGATTATATATAAGGGTGTTTCATTAAGACGGATCGGTAGTAAATAAATCAGTGTTATTGGTGAAAATTTATTTTTTTCTCTAATGGATCATGTTATTTAAGTCATGGCAATTACGTGTGAAAAATAATATCGCCCAAATATACGCCCAGTCTGAAAGAAAAATAATAATTAGCCGCTTAAATTTAATTCACATATAAAATCGGTCCAAGTTATTGGAGTAATGGAATGAGACTCGGATTGAGGAATCGGAAGTTCATTACATTATTCACTTACGTGCTAATATCCTTGCCAAAGATATGAATCCATCTCCCCCCCCCCCAGCTATGGGTAAATGGTAGAACAGACATGGTCCTATATCCTTGGATAGCAACCTGTCTAGGAGAAGAAAAACTCTGAATATGGATAAATACTAGGACTTTAGCTATGATTGGCAACCAGACTAAGAGAAGGACAAAACTGAATTCAAATCTGGAGGCGGATGTCATTTGCAATTTCTTTCTGGCTGGTGCCTAGCTGCATTGGCAACATTGGTGGCGCGGAGAATGGTGGTGAACTTCATGGGCAATTGTAGATCTCCCATAAAAAAATGCCCAAGCCCGCGTGCTGGAAAGTGCATAACTCTTCGGGATCAGATCCATGGTATTTCGAGACCGATGGATGCTATAGCATATATATATATATATATATATATATATATATATATATGTGTGTGTGTGTGTGTGTGTGTGTGAAAATATATAGAAAATAGGAATGAACTGGTTAGGTAAATAATCCAAAGTTCCTTAGTATTTTTAGTTAGCATTTTTAAAAAATAGTGCTCGATACAAAAGTAGAGCATAAATATAATTATTTATTTAAAAATATGATTCCATATTTAAATAAATAATTTATATATATATATATATATATATATATATATATATACATATATATATATATATATATATATAAAAGTACATTTCTTCTGTCTGATTACCATATATATATATATATATATATATATATATATATGTGAACATATATATATGAAAATTTCTCCGATTTAACCAGTAGAGAAGACAATATTTATGAATAAAAATGACAGTTGCTAGGAACATTCTGTTTTTTGTTTTTATTAGTTACCTTGTTCAATTAATTTCATTTCGTATTTTGCTTTGATAAAGTCCACATTGGACGAAACGCGTCAGCAATTACTAGTTTTCCTATTGTCATTTTTATTCCTAAATATATATATATATATATATTACTATTTATAATCATATGTGACAGTTTTATGTTAGATTCATATATATATATATATATATATATATGTAACAGTTTTATTAGATTTATTTGGATATTATTACTTTTAACGAATTAAAAAAGGCGATTTTTTATATAAGCGGCAATAGGGTTAATTATGCAGACAGAAATTTTAGATTACTCGCACAGAATATATCACTAAAGCAAATGGTAAATGATTTCAATATGGCCGACATATAGTGAATATTTTTAACTACATCTAAATGTTTCGCGTTAATTTTCTTCTGATATTACTTTTTTATGATTTAAAATGCAGAACTCTTTCTTACATACGACAATACTGTTAATTGTACAGATAAAAATCCGAAATTACTCATGCAGAAGATATTGTCAATGCAATAGAGAATTGACTTCAATATGGCCGTCATATACTGAATATTTATAACCATGTGTAAATATTTCGTCTTAGCTTTCTTTTGATATCGTTTACTTTTAATGATTTAAAGAAGAAAAAACACGTTTAACGTAACAATAGATTTATCTTGATAAACAAAATTCCTAGCTTACTGGTGCAGAAAATACAACTCATGCAATTGTAAAATGACTTAAACATGGCCGCTATATAGTGAATATCTATAATTATGTTTGAAAGTTTGTGTTTGCTTTTTTTGGATATATCTACTCTTAATGATTTCAAACGCAGAATTCTTTCATAGATACGACGGTAGAGTTAATTCTACAAATAAAATTTCTAGATTACTTACGCGGAAATATGACCAATGCAATTGCAAAAATTAATTAAATATGGCCGCTATATAGTAAATATT